TGTCTCACAGAACTGCAAATCCCAGAATTTCATATCACTGAGCCATGGCAGGTAAAATGGTGTCAGCCTGGATTATTTCTGCAGTGCAGATGCAGCCGAGAACACAAGTGGGAAGCCTAGGTTGCTTCTATGCTTGCTGGGGCCATTGTAAGAAATGCAACATCTGGAACATCTGGAGGCCACCAGATGCCGTGGAAGGCTAGCGCACAGCATTCCAAAATGGAGGCATGCCCACGTAAGCCATCCACAGGCATGCAGCACTCCTGTGGCTCTGCTGTGCCCCACTGATTGAAGAATAGCAGGCTGTGAAGCCCTCCGTGCCTTTCCTCCCCTGTCAATCTCTCTCTTTGGTTCATAACATTTCCACAAGAATCACTCAAGTTAACGGAGAACAAAAACTCTCACCCGCCCTCTGTAATTTCACGATATTAACAGAGTAATTATTCATTTATAAGCAGACATCTGTTTGTAGAAACCTCACTCCATGTAAGTAGCAAGGCATGGGCAACTGTGTAATTTGTCTGAAATAAGCCTGTAATTATCATTGCGTTTATGCAGCTGATGGCTGGGTATTCACTCCCTCGAGGGCAGCAGCGGTGGTTGTTTTCCTGGCAGAAATAGGATGGATCTCATCTCCCAAGGGTTGAGAGTGGGGGAACTGGGGACAGAGAGGTATTTTTAAAGTCCTACAATGACAAGGTCTCACTTGCCTACTTTTGAAAGGAAATACCATTTTAGCTCCTGGTATTACAAAATGGAGGAGCATGCATTTGCTTGCATTCAGGCCCAGTCCAGTCTCCAGAAAAGTGCTTCTTGGCTGAACCTGGTGCAGAAATAGGATGGTCAAGAAGGAGTCAGTGTCCAGTGGTGTCTAATGGTTCATATGTTGGCTGCATGATTAATCCATTCTGCGTTTTAATCTGAAATTTAAAGGAGCTTCCCAAGATACGGGGTAGAAAGATTTTGGCATTAACTCTCTTCATAGGGGAGATTGCAATGGGACAAGAGGTTGAGGAAGACAGAGATCACAGTATGCAAAGGGATCTTGTAGTACCTTTGAGACCAAGGTCCAAAACACGCTGCAGAAATAATCCAGTTTGACACCACGTTTACTGTCGTGGCTCAATGCCATGGAATCCTGGGAATTGGAGTTTGTTGTGGCCCCAGAGCTCTCCGACAGAGAAGGTTAAATATTTCACTAAACCACAAACCTCAGAATTCCATAGCATTTAGCCAGGGCAGTTAAAGTGGTGTCAAACTGGATTATTTCTGCAGTGTGGATGCACTCCAGGCTAAAGTAATAGGAGAGGGCTGAGGTTTTTCAGACACTTTGAGCGCCTTTTCTTTTTCTTTTTGAAACATCGATTTATTTTTTAGTGGACAGTCAGGATTTAAAAAACACATGCATAATAAATCAAAGGATAATAAAGCAAATGAGATCACGTCCTTCTTTCTCACCAGTAAATCTTCACCACACCTTTAAGCAGACTGTTGTCACCCTTATGGCAGAATCTTGCTGGGGCACTATGCTAGAGTAAGAATAGTTGTGCAACAGGTTGCGCTTTCTCAGAAGTTGTGTAAACATGCTCCTAAGCGCAGCTCATCATTCCACAAACGCACACTCACACGCACGAGAGCCTTCTCTCGCACATTTTGGTTTGGTGAGTAGGAAAGCTAATCCACCATTGTGCAATGGGGAGTAAAAGTGGTGTCCCTTGCACAACTAGTCGTACAACTGTGGGATCTAATGTATATACAGGTGCAAAATGTGCGGAGGAGTTTGGCCTATGCCTTCACAGTTCTTTTCCTGGGATTTTAACTCACTTGCTACAGGGATCCACCAAAACCTGGCATTAGGCTTAGCCCACACCAGCGTTGCCTTGGGACCCACAGATGTATGAAGGATCCTAGGCTGGGCTGAACACTAGATCCCTGACGATCCCTGGCCCACTTTTTTTGGCTAGTCTTTCAGAGAACAGCAAAAAGAGAAGACTGAGGTTTGCTGAACTATAGCTGCATCTGCACTGCAGAGATAATGCAGTTTGACCCCACTTTGGAATCCTGGGATTTTTAGCTGTAGGCTCAAAGCTCTCTAGCAGAGAGGGCTAAATATCTCACCAAACTACAGATCCCAGAATTCCATAGCATGAGCCATGGCAGTTAAAGCGGTGTCAAGCTGCATTATTTACGCAGTGCAGATGCGTCCCAAGTGAGTGGTGCACTTTGGTTCAAAACCACCAAGGTCTCCTCCCCCTTGCCTTCCCACCCCATCCCCAAAAACTGGAGCCATCCATGGTCCCTATGAGCCAGAAGGGAGGGAAAGAGTAATAATACTCAGCGTATCATGGGCCAGGCTGCTGAAATTTAAATGTCTGTGTCTGACAATCGTTGTTTCAAAGTGCTATTTAATGTCACCCTTTGTATATACAACCCCACCTTTGTGTTTGGCCTTTGACTGATATTGTGAAGTTTTACCTTTTCGGGTCCTAATGTAAATACTTGCTCTCCTGCGACGTAAGACTCTGTGCATTACTACCCAAAAGCCTGTATTCTTTCTTCCCCAATCTTTCTTTCTCTGTGTGTGTGGCCACTTTTCCAACGGCTAAGACCAATTAGATGGGCACCTTTGCTTTCCTCAATGGTTGGTTTGGACTTTTATATACCACTTCCTTGTCATATTGTATGCTGGGGCTTTTCAATCCCTTTCCATTTCGGACTACTCTCTTGCAGTCTTTGAGAGAATCGGACGCGTCGGCAGCCAAGCCCTTCTTCTGCACTTTGCCAGTGTGCTTCTGCTGCATGTATGTCCCCTCTTTAAAGGCCATCTGTATGCACTGCTCTTTCCTTCTTCTCCTCCTTCTCCATCTTTTTCTCCTTCTTCTTCTTCTTGACCTAATGGCATCCAAGCAGCTGACCTCCTCCAAGACACATTGGCCGGGGATGTAAAGGTCTATTATGCCAAACGTAAACTCACTGCTCAATGTCTGGATCCAAGACTCCTTTTCAAAGAAAAGCTTCTGTCTCCTTTGATTGCTCTAAAAACAAAAAAATTGCAGTTACAAATAAACTTTCACCAGAACACCAACAATGTTTGAGAAAGCACTCTCTCTCTCTCTCTTTTTCTCTCTCTCTCTATATATATAATTTTAAAACTGATACATTAACTTTA